TAAATAGCAAAACAAAGTAGAGCAAAATCTAAATAAGAAGCAGTTTTGTCATACACTTCATATTCCCTATCTTAATCTTATTTGAATTTCTATTTGTTTTGTGTGATTGTACAGTTTCATATTTGTTGAATATCACAAGTGCAATTTTAAATTCTCAAATATAGCTGGTGTAAATTACCTCCTATTGTGCTTTTATTAGAGTTGTGGTCCATTGCGCTCACTACATTCATTCTCTTTTGTTTGGTAAAACGCTGGCACTTTCAGTAATTATGATGTAGTGACAATAAGGCATTTTCCCATTGCCATTTTCCCTCTGTGATGTGATTTAAAGCCAAAAACAGGAAGTGTGGAACCAGACGTGTCACATGACTTGTGTCTGCTGGTTGTCTAATTAGCGTCTGCATCAAATTAGCTGTCAATTACATGTCCTATTAGTGACTGTGGTTGAGTAGCACATTAAATCATTACCTCAGTAAAGTTTCAGTCAATAGCCAAACACTGATGCCTTTTTTCCTTCTCAGTTTTAGCTACAGTAATTTTGTGCCGCTCACTGCGCAGTAATTGCCATTTTAATTAGGTTTATACCAGATGCCCTTCCGCAGACAACCTTCTGTCTAAATCTTTATTTTTAATGTCCTCTCCACTGTCATACACTGTATACAGCATATTGATGACAGATAGTCAAGCAGGGATTTGACAACCTTACCCACTGCTGCACCAGTAACCATATTAAAATGTATTGTATGAAAGAAAAACAAGATTGTGGCATGGAAAACATCTGAAAAGATAATAGGCTGACAATAGTGTATCATAATGGGACCAATCTGGACAAAATAAAAATCTCATTTATTCCGCTCGGCCTTAGTCTCTCTCCTCCCTCCCTCCCTCCTCCTCCTCCTCTCCTTATAAACGTCTTTACTGGCCGCTCAAGCTGCTGATGAATTCTTAAGCAGATCACACTGATAATTGTATTTCATAACTGTCAGTTGTGCGAAAGCTGCCAGTGTGCCCAGGAGCTATTTGTGTCTCGCTGTGTCCTCCACTCCACCGTCCTGCCCACTGCTACCCCCACCCCCCAAACCCCCCTTTCTCTCAGACTGGCCCCCTCCCGCAATCATGGGACGTGCCTGTACTTACTGTCCCCGGCCTTCAAATTACTCAATCAGTACGCCACGTTTACGGATGACACCTTTATTACAATTAATCAGTTGGAACTTGATTAAGAAAGTTATTCCTCCCCTTCATTGGAGGCTTTTACACAAGTGGCACTGCTGCATATTGTAATTTATGTCCCACTGAGCTGTTGCGCCGGTGATAGACAGAAAAGCTGACAGATTGCCAGCCACACTGAGACACATGTGGACAGGTGCGCGAGCCAGCCCCTCCTTTCCCTCCTTCCTCCTATACCCAAACATGGACACAAACATCCTCCCTATCATTCTGTCACGCACAACTCATAGCAAAGAGTTTTTATTACGCGACTTTAATTGGCTTGCTATTCTCCTTGTCTCCTCTCTCACGTTTAACGCACACACATCCCGAATGAAGCCATCTCCTTACCTTTACTCACAGTTGCCGGGTCTGCTGTGGCTAATTAGTTGAGTGGGGTTTTAGGTTTGGTAATTAGGCGGAGGTAGGACTGACGGGGGCTCGGGGAGTTGGGGAGTTGAGAGGGTCTGAATGACTTATACAGGGGAGAGAGAGAGACAGAGAGAAAGAAAGAGAGAGAAAGAGAGAGAGAGAGGAGAGAAAGTGGACTGTCTGAATCCTGGCAGCACTGAGAAGCCAGCCAGTGTCCCTTAGGTGCCTAGAGCGACCACACTATGAAGAAGGTGATGTCTTTGTTAAGTGCCACATGTTCCAGCGAGGGGAAAAGAGGAGTTTAGTGGAGAAAAGAGGCCTCTGAGATTTTTTGGACTTGCCTGAATGTCAACAAATGAAAAGCAGAACTATAAAGTTGTACAGGAAATGAAATGAAAAGCAGGAGTTCTGTCATGTCTGGTTTTTGGTTCAATCGTTCAAATGGTGAAACTGACCAAATGTTGTCTTTGTTGTTAACTGCAATCAATTTGCAGGAAAAAACACTACAGTCAAGAAAATAACAAGCATTATGGGCGTTACCTCAGATGGCTTAAAAAGTTACCTTGATCTCTCCTACGCAAAAGTCTTGGTATGAACAAAGAAATGTGAATAAATGTACAAAACATACAGAATTGAGTACGAACCTATGCAAAGAAAGTGATCCTATCTAACAATGTTATGCAGGTGGATGAATTGCTCTGGGCAAACAAGTTTTCATTAACTTAAGAGGTGAATTCATGTAGACAAGAACAATCATTACCTATAAAAGTAGCAACTAAACCAAAACCAGCTATTTAGGCTAAATATTTTGTATCATGAGTCACAGAATGCATTATCCATGTATTTCAGAGTGAAGAAAATTTAACTTTGTTGCCATACCAATAACAATAAATAACAAAAAAACTAAACTGAATACTATCTACTGAATTTGGAAACGTATTAAAAATGGCACCTTTTTCAAAATTCACATAATGTCATCACTGACAATTCTACATCATACAGATCTAAAACAAAATAAACAATACATAGAATTGCCATTTCCATTTTCCTGTCTCACCTTGAAATATTCAAATTTTAAATAAACCCTGAAAAAAAAAAAAACATTACTGAAATTGTAAAGACAGAATTTCCTTCCTAAAACTTTTACAGTGCAGTATTTGAAAATACACTTCATGAAGTGGTACATTAATGACCCTGTGTAAAGAGCCAATATTACCGCAAGTCTCTCCTAAAACAAGACTCTCAATTCCTCAAAAGAAGGAGGTTTTTCGCAGTTGCACCGTCACATACGAGACCCCTCTCTATCTTTAGTGTCTTGTTTACGCTCCACAGTTAGGAGTCTTGTGTGCGTTGCCAGTTAGCAGCGGCAGCATCCTCCTTCTGCAACACAATCCAATTAAATAAAGAGTGTTGTCTCTCCAGGTTCCTGTGTTCTCTAATTGGGGCTGTGACTGCTCACTAATCAGCGCAGGTACAGGTAGGCCCAGGAGGACGCCAACATGAGGCCTCTTCTGTTAATTGAAGAGATGCTAAATCTGGACGCTGCTCTATGATGGTACACACACACACACACACACGCACACAGTACTTGAGGTAAATTCATTTCAATGTTCACGTGCATCATCGACTTTCTCACCTTTTCAGGGCAGGCGTGTAAGAGCTTGCATTGACTTCTTAATGCACAGGCAAACAACTGTGACAAGTGTGACTATAACTTGACAATGTCTGTGCCACGTACTAATCGTCTAGCACAGTCATAGTTCAGAGTATCTTTAAAATGTACTGGTTAAATGTTTACTTATAAATCATAGGCCTACAGAATTTACAAAAATTTTCAACAGCATCAACACACACTATAAATATGAAGAGCCATTTTATTGAAATGTCTCATTTGTATTTCCATTTTTTAAGGAATAGATTTATTTAATGTTGCTCAAAAACACACTTTTCCTTGGGTCCAGTCTACAATGTGAATGAGGAAACATCTTTTGATATCAGTGCGTTGGATTTTGAGTCATGTTGGTATTATAATTAGTAGCAATCTAATACTCAACTTTTAATGCACTTAAGTGAACATAATACTGTTTACTCTACAAAAATCAATATTAATTTGTATCTTTCCTTTTTGCTGAATGAACCCAATTACACAGAATCGGCTTGATTACAAATTTAATTGATAAAAATATATTTTAAGTAGTCGTCCATGAGTGATTTGCAGCTGAGAATATTTGTGCTATGACAAAACATTACACAAAATCATCAGCTGAGTGTGCGTTGCCCCAATGACCAGTGCATTATAAGGACTGAGTGTGGTACCTATTTGTTGTGGATATAAAGCAGTCCTAACCTGGTGTGTTCCTGATTTCCTGCACCGTCTGGAGAGGGGAGCAGCTTTGCATGCTGGGGTCACACCTGTAATGCATTTCACACTGGGTTATATTTTGAGTGGCCACCTGGATGAGGAAATAACATGTTCACAGTGCATGGAGCCTACAGCCCTCCCTGCCAGGTATGAACAGGTGTTTCTCTTAGACAACACACACTAAGCTTACATTACAGACTTCAGGTTAGCATGTGTTATTGTTGGAATTGAATTAAATATGAACAAATAACACGTTCACACACAATATTAGAATGTTTAAGAAAGTAAAATAAAATAAATCTAGAAAGTTTGCAGTTTTTTTAAGAATATATTAAATGCCATTCAAAAGGCCCCAATATATGGAAATGCATACATTTAGTATACATATATTTTGTAAAGAAACTGTCCTAAAAAGTGCGGGTTAATAGCGTGGAATCAAATAAAAAATATATGTTAAGCAGAAATTTTAAAAATCCTAAGGAATATTTCACTGCTGAGTATTTGAAGCCAGATCTCATACAAATAATGAAAATGCAAGATGTCAGAGGCCATTCCGTACTACATTCACTATAAGTGTTTTTTCTGTACTTGTGGTGTGGAAAGAAGTAATGGCATTTTCCAGTCCAACTTCTCTTTAGCTGAACTTAATTTTTTTATATTATGTGCGGCTCCAGGGCATACGGATAAAAAGATTGATTGTGTGAATGCCGTTTCTGTCAGCCACAAACAGGCAATGAAATACCAAGCACACCTGCAGCCACTGAATTCACTTTTGACAAGCACATACCAATGTAAGCCCCTATTAGAAAAACAATGAAGTATATCATCAAATATTTATGGGAGATAAAGTGCTGCAGAGTGCTAAAAGCAAGCATGTAGTGGCAGCGGGTCTCAAATACTTTTAGATGTGTAGGTGGGCCAGAAATATTTTAGCAGAAATTAGAGTGGCTACTGCTTCTGACAGTAATCTGAATATTTATAGGGCTCTGAGTAGGTTACAACCACAGTGAAAGGAGATATTAAGACTTACTGAACAAAATATGGAAAGAAAAGAATGTGAAATTATTTGTAGTGTTTATTTATGTGAAATTATATCATATAATCATTTAAAAAAATAAATTTGAGGTCCACAGGGTGACCCAGGATTGCAGCACTTCAGAGTAACTCACAGTATATTATTCATAAAACATGAATATGCAAAATGCAATGAATCAACATTTCAGTACTAAAAAGTTTGTGTACTGAATTAACACATATGCATATAATCAAACAAATTGTATAAATTTATAAAACATTTATGATTAAACCTTATTGCATTTTATGTATTTAGTTCCTACTATTGAAGCAATGACTTGACTTGTAACTGGTCTTTAACTGTTACACTTAAGGGGAGCGGTTCTGAAATGTTATGCTATAATTTTTATAGTAATATGTCAATCAGTTTCATTCAAGTACGATTTGTGCAGTGCATTAACAACATAATAAATCACAATTTACTATTGCTCTGTGCAGCAGCTGCTACCTCCACTACCACCTTGCCCAGGTTTTTCCCAGCATACATGTAGTCCACAGCTCGAAACACTGACTCTAGTCCTGAGAACCTCCCCTCCTCCACCAACTCCCCACAGTCCACCTCACACACCAGCTCCCCTTTGGCCATCAGCCGCATCATTTTAGCCAGCGCCTCTCCGTAGTCGCTTAAGAAATGAGGCAGGAAGAAACCACGCATGCTAGCAGACTTCTGCAGCAGCTTGACCGGCAGCGTGGTTCCTTTAAAGGCTGGGATCCCTGAAGCAGACTGGTACCCTGAGATGAAACCAATAACTATGAGTCTTCCCTTTTTAGCCAAACAATTCACTGCCAACTCTAATGTACTGCCACCGACAGACTCATACACCACATCAATGCCTTTTGGGTACTCTTTCCTCAGTGTCTGTCCCAGGTTTTCCACTTTGTAGTTGATCGGTCTGTCACAACCAATGGATTTGAGGAAGCCAGCTTTCTCATTAGAGGAACAAGTCCCAATAACATGGCACCCGGCCTGCTTTGCAAACTGCACAGCGAACTGTCCAGTTCCTCCTGCAGCCGCTGTGACCAGCACAGTCTCACCTTTGGTCAGATCTCCCAGACGTTTCAGTGCAATATAAGCAGTAGCTCCACTGACCAGCAAAGTGAGGAACTCAGGTTTGACTAAGGGTACACGTATGCTCTCCTTGGCTGGCACTACTGTGTACTCGGCAAATGCCCCGTTGCGGAAGTAGGCCACAGTATCCCCGATGGTGTACTCTGAGCTGGCTCTAAGGCCAAGGCCGACGACCTCACCGATCCCTTCAAAACCAGCATCAAAAGGAGGCTTCACTGTGGGGTCATAGCGTCCAGCAGAGTAATTTATGTCTGAGGCGTTGATTCCCACAAAACTGGAAAACATGACATAAAACAGGGATGTGATATAATTATTGCAGCAAAGCAGTTACAGTCAAACATCTCTGTGCTCATTCATTAAAGTAAGACATATTATTTTCTAGATTAAGGAGGTCAGGACTTGATTTGTCTCCTCTCCACCCGTCGGTATGGTACAAACACTCAGGTTTGTTTTGGCAATGATTCTGCTCTCTCCTGAAAAGAACAGTCGTGCTCTGACAGGGAAAGGCTTGTATCACAAAACACATTGCATGATGTCATGATTCATTGTCTTCACAGACACCCACAACAAACTGCACTTTAAAAATCTCAGATAGTTCCATCGGCTCCAAACCCAGACGGCTTGTTTTTATCTTACTTTGGTTACAGAAACAAATATGTGAGAAAGGAAAGCATAAATAAATCATTTACTGTCTTTTAGAGCGGCGGCATGCTGTGTCTCATTACTGTGCCCACCACACGTTACTTTGAGCTCATACTAAATGCTTTTGTGAGTTACACATGCGAAATCAGAACATTACTGAACCATCTCATTTGACTCTATATGTAATTTAAAACAGGTTTCACTAACAGAGAGACTATTTTATCTTCAAAGGTATACAAGTTTAGAACTAAACGCATTGCACTACGGTCGGTTACTTAGGCAAACAAAGTGAGTATATTTTTCTATAACAAACATGCCTATTTCTTTTACTATGTTGTGTGTTATGTGTGCTATTAATTTGATCACACCTTGTGCAATCTGATATAACTTAGAGATTTTAAATACATTACACTATTGTACTAACTATAGTCAAAGCAGAACCAAAATAATGTTACTAAATATATATCCTCCAGCCCTGCTCTATAATATACATTTTAAGAGTAAGATGTTTAGTGTCAGTACGGACAATTTCCTTTTTTATAGTATGGTAAACATTTTTAAATTAGTCAAATGCATGTGTTTTTTTCCCCTCTGGTCCCTCAAGATGATATTTGTTGTATAGGCTACATTTAGTGATCACGCGGCAGCTGAGGAGAGAAATCCGCGGCTCCAGAATGTGCTCCCTGTTCGTTCTTCTCCATCATCTCCATGTCCTGATGTCTGCGTGCGCCCTTTTCTGTTTGCAGGTTGGTGACGTAGAGACAAGAGAGAGGGAGGGAGAGACAGAGAGAGAGATGCCGAGATGGATTGATAGACAAATGCAGCGAGGGCGGAACTTGGAATTACAGAACAACGCTTATCCCTCACATATTTTGCCACCTTGTGATGATGACCGCAGGTACTACTGGATATGGCTAAAGCAAGGTAAGCTGACTCCTTTTTACAACTTCTAAACTGCATTTTGACACACGCTATCGTTTCGAATGAGGGAGTGCGTTCGGGTCGTTTACTATAGGCTTTTAGGAAAGGCGGTCGGAGACGTGCATCCCTGCCTGACGCATGCTGTTTTCAGGCAAGCAACTTACCGATTTCTAACGAGCAGCTCCTCGTTTCCTGGTGTCGGCACGGCCACGGTTTGTAGGGAGACAGCCTCTCGGAAATCTGGACTAAGCTTAGTAACTACTAGCTTTTTCATAGCGCCGGGTATAGAGGTCCCTCGGTAATCCATGAAGTGCGCGGAGTAGGACATGTCTATGATGTAGCGCCGAGCAGGCACATGAAGTCCGAACGAAAGTGCCTCTTTTCCTCCTCGTCTCGCTCTGAATAAGCGAAGCACAGCCGTGCCGCTTCTTAGAGAAAGCAATGAAGACGTGGACATGGCAAAGTTCACGGCCAACTTGACTTTACAGCAGCTAGTAGTAATATGCCCGTCATGCCATTAGCCTGCGCTGTAGGGCTTTTTACTCCGCTTGCGCAGGCGGGACCAGGCCAAACAGCTCGCTGACGGACCTCAGTGAAATAAAAGCCCCTTTAAATCTACCATAAACCACACGAACTAGGCAAACCACGCTGTATTTAGCATTTAACGGAGCTATCGACGTGTAGCCTGTAGCTCTGTAAGAAGCACACTCAAGAGTTATCTGGCTGAGTCCCTCCCCTTCCCGGACACAGCGCTCACTTCCTAGTAAGGTGAAACAAATCAATCCTCATCCTGTAACAACAACCATACTATATGTTTTATTACTTTTGCTTAACCAACAGTGCAGAATGTAGCACAAAGAGAGTCACGGTCTCTGCGTCAGACTGACAGAAGTAAACCTTTACGCACGATAACAATTTATTTGTCAGATATTTCAGTTTTTTCCTTTGTCACGTGACATAGTTTTCATTTATTACTAGTTACTAGGTTTTATTATTGTATTCAACACAGTAAAGCCATGGTTCCACCCCATTTGTGCTTAAAGCCATTAGTTAGTGACATCTAAGTTGAGCCTTATGTCACACATGCTTGTTGCTGCGCACAGTTTGTAACTTTTATCTGGCTTTAAGTTCCATGTGGATCATTTCCTTTTGTGGGATTTTTGTAGAGCGATGGGAGAAAGAGAGAGAGAGGAAGGAGGGAGAGGGGGAAAACAAGACAATTAAAAAGATTGACAGGTAGGCTCCTCTGTCAGGGGTGACGCTCGTGGAGAGGGAGGAGTAAAAATGTAGCAGGAAAAGCCACTCGATGCGTCTGTCTATCAGTTGAGGCTGTCTGAAACAGCTCCTGGATCCCACCGCCGTTTCCATTTTCCTTTTTTTAGCGAAGACCTCTCGGATACTCAGAGTCACACGTTTATTCTTTAAATCTACGACATATATTCTTGTGGAGATTTTTGAAACATATAAATATTTGAGTCCGTGTCGTGGTTGTTGGCAAAGCTTGGATGCGCCTGCGTCTTGTTTGTTCCCCCTTCGCTCTCCCTCTCTCCAAGTGATCTCCACCGCATCAAGCAACCACCCCTTCTCCAAAAAACTGTCCGAGATACAATGAGATGAGCGACTCGTAAAACGTAAGTAATAAAAGATATCTGCTGTGTGTTTTTATTCTGTTTTCACGTTGGAGTGGAGTGGGGACAGGCGGGGAGGGAGGAAAAGTGTGTCCGGAGTGGTGAGCTCGAGCTGGGCTGAGGTGGCGCGGTGGCCGCGGTACATTGGGACTGACACTAACCTATCTAACGCCTGTTTGTCCTGTCTCATCTCTCTCTCTTTCAGGACTGTGGCAAAAGAAAAGAAAGAAACACGAGGATAAGTTGCTTGTCACAAGTGTGCGCTGCACTCACTCGGGACTTATTCTTTACTGAGTTCATTTATTTCGAGTTTGTGTAAAAAGAAAACAAACTCTTTACTCCCTGATACATACCGAGGATTTTTGAGTGCTTTTACCCCTTTTAAGTCTGCAATGATGCACAACGAGGAAGACGATCTTTGATGGACATGAAGGTGTCATAAGAAGCAGCCTCGACCCAAATTCGCGCTCTCTGAAAACTCCAAAAATACTAAGCAAAAAGAAGAAAAAGACATTCAATCCATTCACTTCAAAGAACGGGATGTTTTTTCTAAACTGAGAGACTTTCATTGTGTCTTTTTTCCTGCATGAGAAGCATCGTGGAAAGTGACGGTCACTATGCCGAGGAGAAAGCAGCAAGAGCCGCGGCGATCAGCAGGTATACCCCGAACACACGACACACTCCTATGTGACTAGTCCAGCATTTACCCTTCACTGTATATCGTATTTAAAAGCAGATATGCAAGTTTGTTTTTATTTCTCAAAGCACAATTTTAATCACATTTTCACAGTTTATTCTGTGCGTAATTCACCCCTGAAGTTGTCCTAAAACTACACAATTACGCTACATCATCTGAACTACAAAACTCTCAGGATATTTTTTTCAACATGCACTTCTAAAGTTAAACAAAATAACGTGTTATGGAGATAAAAGGCAGCTTTAGGAGGTTCAAGAGTGAGTAATGATGAATAATTGACTTAGAGAGCAGGGGGAGAAAACTAGAAGGAGTCCGGCTTTTTTCCTTCTTTTCTCTATTCTATTAAAGGATTGCCATTCTTGATTTGATGCGTGATTGATCGTGCGTCATGTGGCATTCTTTGATCTATTCATCCGTAATAAACATCAATAAATCCCTCCAAAAAGACAGCCAAGTCTGGTGGGTTTAGCCTTTTAGCCAAACACAACTTGTCTGTATCTCCAAAGGCAAAAAGTTTGATTAGGCGTAAAAAACATAAACTGTATCAACATATTAATATGAATTAATATTTTCTAGAGGCAGTGAAGTCTATTCAAACAATCCTTTATTTTAGGTTCTGTTTGTATCTAAATTCTGCCCACATTCCATGTAAGAATCAGTCCAGTAATGAAATCAATATCCACTGCTGGAGGCTAGTATAATATTAGCTATGTGACCAACTGATAAAACCAGGTGTTGGCAGACGACCGACAACTTTGACTTGTAGTGGTTTGGATTTGGACTCCCCCTTCTTCCTCTCGTCTCCCTGCAGCCTTTAAACAAATGTAAATGAGTGACAGGGGTTTCTACCTCTGTGCTAATGAGCACAAGCCTTTGAAGTTAGGCATTAACAACTGGAGTGAACAAAAGACAGTAACAGAATTTTAAAGAGATTTTGAAATATGAGGTGCAAAGCGGGTCGAACAGGAGGGCCAGTCGACGAAGACTTTGAACTCAGCAGGTTTTATCATTTTAAACAGGGCACTACTCAAAGATGATGGTGCTTTGAGCTGATGAGGAGGATCAGATGGAGTGTGTATGACGGAGAACATTCAACTAGTCCTTGGGTTTCTATACACCAGATTTCTATTGTTCAGGTCAAACGGCAAAAAACAGACATACGTTTGTGTGCAAGCTAACTTTTATGTACATTTAACATTGGAAACAGTTTTTTAAAAAACACTAATAGTGGGCCTCACATTCCTCCTTTAAGACGCTTCCAAACTCTATGTACACACAAGCGGATCACAATTTTTTGTTCTCTTATTCAGCTTTATGCTTTATGATTTGGAACGTGGATTTATAAACAGTGTAGTAAGAATGAAGTTGTTTTAAAAAAACACAGAAGATTGCAAGTGAAAAACGCAGTTGTTGTAGTCAGTATTTGCTTACTTAGTATGTATTAACCATGACACAGATCTGACCCCTCCTTCTCCTGTACTCTCCCTCACACACCATTGATCCATCACAATGTCCCCTGCGTGTCATCATGGCACGTAATGGTCAATCGCAGTTTGGCTGACGGGGTGTATCCAGTTTTCACTGATTGTAACATCCAGGATTGAGATAAGCCCTTGACAATAATACTGTTGGTAACACACACAAGTAACACAATAAAACACACTCTTGAATTGGAGGTGAGGCGCCTGTGCCCCTCTGGGACCTGCTGCTGACCTGTGGCTTCCTCTCTGTGTGAGGGCAGCGTTCACAGCGGGATGTTAGCTTTGATATTATATTTCATTTTTGTTTAATGCTAGCTTTTATTCTATTATTGAACTTTTTTTGTATTTGAAGGCCTATACAGGAATTTAAAGAGTAGATTTAAAATTATTATTATTATTATTATTATTATTATTATTATTATTACATATATTCAGTTATAAAAAGTATTAAAAAACATGTCTTAACCAAATAATTTTTAACTGAAATATTAGATTTTTTTCTGAATTTGTGAAGTAATTTTACAAATAAGACAAAATGTAGAAACAGTTTATTTTCTTTTTATTGCAACAAATAACTTCCATATTGTACACGTCAAGATTTAAAAGTCAGGGGGGAAGTATCCACAATTAAAAATGACAGAACAGGAGTGACTTCCTCTTTCATGTAAAACGTCGTATAGAAGTGAGACAAGAAAGAGGAGCAGCTAAGATATTGGTCTGTATTTCTTTGATGGTTAATTATAAGGCGATGGTATGTGTGTGCTTATGGAGTCGGGGTGGAGAGGGGGGCGAGGTTGCTTCCCGTTGGCTTCATTAGAGAGAGCCCTAATTATCTGTGGAGCTGATGGATTTGTGACAGGCCCTAACGATTAATGCTGACAAATTCAGTAAGGTGTCAAGTCCGCAGCTGCCTTGATGTAATCAAGTTGATATTATACAGTCCCCATAGCCTCTAGTGCAGCACCAACTCAATTTGCCTGTGCAGGTGACAAATGGACTTTGCTACCTGACTAATCACGTCAGGAGACAATGCCAGTTAATGACCTCGCTTGAGCCCCCGCCGCCCCCACCCATACCATTCTTATAACCTTGTATTAAACCAGCCTAATTCCTAAGCTATATTGCAATCTCCCTCTTTTTTCCTTCAGCTAATTTTTCATTACACTCATTTATTTTTATTTAAATCCTTCTAATTACCGCGCTTACTTTATGTGTCAAGATAGCGGAGCATTTTCATAAAGTTCTCCGCAATTTTACAGCCACGTTGAGAAGGTACATTTCCACTGTTGTAAAAGATTTATTTTTTTATTAAGACGTAACTCAGGCCTGATCTCAACTGAGCAATCCAAAGTTGTACCACGATCCATTTTTTAAAAGCGCAGACGTCCTGTTGAAGTTTTTACACTTTTGCATGTGTTACTGAGCTGCCTGTAAATCACGGCTGCATTAAAACTCAGCAGAGACGTACTTTGGCTGAACGTCTTGCTGCCTTCTTGCTAAAGGCCTCTAGTTTCTTCCAATCCGGAGCGTCATGGTGTCCTGGGATTAATGATTTTGCATGCCCAAGATGGCTATGATTACACTGCAACCTTTGTGCATGCACTAAATGTGTGATATTCTCCCCTCAAAATAATCTGCATGCTAACATTTATACGTCCTACGTCTCAGCCCTCGTACATATGTCTACACTGGCGTCCTCAACGTGCTAAAATGACTGTAGGTGTTTTTTAACTTTGCCAAATTTTGAATGCCACCTTCTTCCCTGAGAATTCAAACAATCTTGAAAAGTTCATTTTGTGCAAGTAGAGTGGCCATAAAGTTAAAGTGTAAATGACTTAATGACACTGTTGCTTCTGAGAAATGAGTTGTATGTTTATTGAAGGAAAGAAAGACAGTGTGTGTTTAGGCAGTGGGTTACAGAGACAGTGGGGGCAATGGGAGCGT